AAGGTCTTTGTCATATAGTATAAGGTCACCATCATTAATTTTCAAATTATAAAAAGGGATTTGCTGTTTTGTGATCATCATTATTGCAATATAATGTGTTGTGGATTCTGCCTGCACATAGAATGAACTGTGATCTTAATTAGAACTTTGACAAGCCTACTCCGATAAAATGATGAGATTATTCGTAATTGATGTCACAATCAATTACCAGTTAGTTCATCATGAATCTACTAACAGGTCTAGCCTTGGTGCTGGCCCCAGGATGTTGATGAGTGTGTGGCTGCCCTGTTCATGCTGTTACTGCGACAGGAGGGCAGATTTTCAGTCAACATCCTAATGACCTCTTTTGAAGTCTATTAAATTAATGACCCTGTCACATTGGGCTAACCTCTTACATCTTCATTTTGGATTTTTTGTTGCAAACCATTGGTTTTTGAGCACATGATAGAACAGATACTTTGGAGCACTCCTTCTCATCCCTCTAAATCTGGCAGTGGATCTTACTAGATTCAATAAAAATTAATTCATTACACAGTCATGAAACACAGAGCACAGAAATCAGGAAATACACTGTAAGGCAAAGTGTGCTTAACACCGTTCTGTTCTGGTTTCTTTTTACATTTCAATCTTGCTTAATCACAGGTGCCTAAAGGACATGTTTGGTTAGAAGGTGATAATCTCAGGAATTCCACAGATTCCAGGTGCTACGGACCTGTTCCTTAYGGCCTGATAAGAGGACGCATTTGTTTTAAGGTATATATATTTATACTATCTAGAAATAGTTACATTAGTACATTTTTGATGCTTGGGTGTTAGGTTTTGAAGCTTGCCTCCCCACCTGTCTGACCAAAGCAAATGTAAAGGAAAGCATGGAACTCCAGCCACTGCTGTAAAAGATAAACCAACAATGAAGGGGTTTTTGGAAGGACTTTGGAGCAGAACTCTGAGCAGTCACTGCTCTGAAAACTGAATGTATTATTTTGCAAGCAAATCCARGCCTGATAAAAACACAAATGTACACAGATGTACATTCCAGCCTTCATTTGATTATTGCTTCTGCAAAATGGTAGAAAAGGGCATCTCTGGGTTCCACTCTTGTAGCTCCCAAGACCAAAAAACAAAATGGAAGAAAAGATTCTCTTTTGACAAATCCTACATATATTTTGGACAGACTGGCCTTACTGCTTTTTAAACTAAAAAAAGTGAAAAAGCTTTAACAGTGAAGTCCACCACTGTGTCACTGTAACTGTCTACCAAATTTCTTTTTTAAAAAATGCTTTGAATGGATATTGTGCTGTATAAACCATCATACTTCCTTCTCCTTCTGCTTCAATGATTCTACAATTTTATTTCACACTAAATTATTTTTTTTATATTATCTGCCTTATTAATCTTTTAGCAAAAAGAAGGAAACACAATTTCCTCTCCCTAAAAAGTTGAGTCTAAGGAACAGAGGAGTGTGTATTACAGACTTTTGCACCTGCTTTTAGAAAGCTGGATTTAAAGGTGTGCATTGAGAACAATAAAAAGGGTTTTCTYCACATAGTTCAACACATCCACAAACCCGTAATTTAGCACAGCTGTATTACACACAGAGGCAAGATTAGATCTTTCCAATTTAACAAAGCCTTACATCGTTAATTTACAGTATTTATGAACACAATTTGAGACTTTCCAAAAAGTTCCCTTGCAGCTATAGAGCACAATCAGTAATTGCTTACTAAACCTCAGACAATTTGTCCCTGTCAGCCCTACCAGCAAGTTTTGGGTGACCTGTTCTTCCTGGCTCACATTTGCTCTGAGTTCTTCCCTGGTGTTTACTCAGGGCTCTGCCCCTTCTCCTGCTGTTTGTCTTACCCTGGGCACCAAAGGGAAAATGCTGATTCCAAACAGGGCTGGTTTTATGATCCAAGTTTTAGTTTGGTTATTGACTGCTAAGATACGGATGATGCTAACATGCTGATGCTCCTCTAATATACTGATGCTCTAGTATGGTACTAATGCAACTGAAAAAAAAATAAAAATYTCCAAACTGATGTACAGGTACAGAAAAACTGCTCTTTACTACTTTTAGAGGACTATTAGATATATGAAGAACMTGTGTGTGTGGAGAGCCACAATTAGTCACAGTATTTCTCCACTGTGATAGATTTTGTGTCCAGCTTGTACCCCAACAAAGAAGGTGTTTGAGAAACTTTAATGAAGTGAGTGACAGGATTGAACCCTAAGTAAACTCTGTAAAATGAGTGTAACTCACACACAGATAATTCATATTGAAGTACTACTTTAGGATACAGAGCACTGTCTGTTAAAAAAAATTGTATGCAATCCCTTGACACTTAATCAAAATAATTTAASCAAACTTTACAGCAGTTGTTTAATGACAGTGGCATAGAATAGTGATTTCATGACCTTTAAGTATATGGTGCCTAAAAAAAGCAAAAATGAGTTTATTCTTCAAATGAGTGTTAATTTGACAGTTGGGTTCTTTATCATAACTCAGCACACAGTGATCCTGCTCCTGTCTGTTGCTGCTGCACATGGCAGTGGAAGAAATCAGATACAAACTGCAGAGGGGTGGCTGATAAATGGCCAGAAAACTTCTGGGGGCTTTTAATGCAGCCTGCTGCAGCTTTGGCTKCTCTTTCATCAGTTAGTTTTATATCTGCTTCTCCAAAATCCACTTGTGAAGGCAGTGAACAGTGCCTTTCAGTGCTAACTTATGTTTTTATGAATGGATGCAAACAACCCCAAATCTAATTTGGAAGTCACAGATTTCATTAGAAAAGAGTGAGCTTACCCAAGCTAGCTGGCTGGATTTGTAGAGCCAGCCTTTTCTTGGCAGAACATAAATGTTTATCTGAAGTAGACTAAAGGTTCTCAGTCAGTGCTGGTGCAGYATTTTTAACCCTTACAGAAATACCAATGTGTGATTCTGTCTGCTCCTTTTGCTCCCTGCCACTCCACACACAAGATCATTCCATAAGGGACTGCTGAAATCAAAGCAGCTGCAAATTCTGGAAAAGCACTGGGAATCTCACTTTGACAGAACTCATGCTTTATCCTGTCCTAGGTAGGATATCCTGTGCATTCCCTTGATTTAGGCTCCATGTCAAAACYAGACCTGTGGTGTATCTTCAAAAGAGCTAGTTAGCCCCATTTATCCCCCATCCATCAGATCAAATCTATCTATGKAGGCCACAGCAAAGAGGGCAAAGAGCTGCTAATTGGAAGAGCCAGTCTGAATGAACAAGTCACAGTCAACTTCTGTCATAACTTTAAAGGACTTGGGAATTACCACAGAGTGGCATGTCTTTGTTTCACAGAGGAGGGGTTTCCATCTCTTTCCAGCCACCAGTATTGTTTCTTAGGTTCTCCCTGCATGCAGACTGGATAAAATACCATTTTCATTGTAACTCTACCACTAAGATTACTGTGGTAAGACAAATTTCAAATTATCCTGTCAAAGTAACATTTAAAGCTAATTTGATTACTTTCATGGAAAAAAGTAAACTTGCAATAGGTGTGATTTGAGTTCTTGAAATGAGATTCGTGCTGGAGTGAATGGACTAAGAAACTTCCTTCTCCAGGCCYTACTGAGATCAGCTTAGATTTGTTATAGGGGATATTTTTCTTTCCTTTTACTTCTGTTTGCCTTCAAGGCCAAACAAAGACTTGACACCCAGCCTGCAGCCAGCACAGGCCCTTTGCACAGCCTTGAATTCCACTGCGATCACAAATATCCTCTTTTTGGTGGCTTGTGTCTCTATTTGTGTGGAACTTAAAATAGCAATGCAGATATTGCCTCTGTGGTTTGGGTATCAGCAGCTGGTTCTCATGCTCCTCCCTAACTGCACATGCCAGCAGCTCAAGGATTGTCTAAGATCTTGGCCAAGAGTGCTTGCAGCTTTTTCTGATGCACAGAACTGGAGGTCCTGAGCACAACTCATCCATTTCTGCCTTCCCTTGGGCAACACAGCCCAGAGCAAAGGGGTGACAGGAGCCTGCAGCAGTGCACAGCCCCAGTTTCAGAAACTGAACCTCTGCCTGTGCTTCCTTAAATGAGACCATTGCTCTTTCACTSCTCACAGAGAGCAGCAAAGGCTCCCTCTGTGCTGGGGCTGTTCATGAACTCAGCTCTGTGAACGAGGTAGTGCCTGATCTTTGTGAAATTTTTATGGGATTACAGCCACAGAGGGCTCTTCAGAATCATCTTTCCCCTTTTCCTGCTGAGGCCCTTGTGCCATCTGAAAAAGTATCTTGCAAGGAGACCCAGACATTCGAGGGAGACAGAGGACAATGAGTGAATGTCCTTGCTCTCCTTTACTTTATTTCTGCATGTAATTAGTGACTGTYCAGAGCAAAGTGCTCCTGGGAGCATTCAGTACATGAACAGCCCTACAGTTCATTTCTGGAGAGAAGATTTTTTTTATTGGTCAGCATCATTCTCTAAAACCTGTAGAGATCATGAGCTGTGCTCTTTTGTAACTACCCATCCCTTTGCAGAGGAGCCCCGATGGTGGCAGCAACTCCACCCCTTCATTCCTGTTTGTATAGATTTACCTGCAGCCTATAGATCCTTCTTCCCAGGGTATGGTGTTTGCAGTTCAAAGGCCCACCTTGAAAATGCAAATGTACACCTCACCATGGGGAGTTCCATGGGCATGGAACTGTTTTTCCTCTTAGATGGACCAAAAAGCATATACCTTGTGTTTTAAGTGATGAAGAGCTTTACAAGCTAGAAAACGTTAAATTTGAAAGACATATTTATTTCCAAGGCTGAAAAAAATAATGGAATTCCTGAGGCTCTCCAYAGCAAAGCATGCCCTGTATAAATTCTGAAGTTCCCACTATGGAATGATTCCCTGTGATACACTGCATTTATGACTCTCAATAAGAGAAGCACATTGGTGAGGAAAGTTCTTTACCCTGTCAAGCAAAGAGATAAACATGCTGTTTGTAAACAACTACAATAACAAATGAAAATACTGAACTTTGAGTTGTGATTAAAGTTGCTTGTAACTTTTATTTTACAGATATGGCCACTGAATGACTTTGGATTTCTACGTGCAAGCCCCAATGGCCACAGATTTCTTGATGATTAAAAGACTTAAGTTACTATTGACAGTTTTCACARTATTTTCTACTAAAATTAATGGAATTATTTTTGCTTAGAATAAACACAAGTATTACTTGACAAAGATATCTCTTTCTGAAATTACACCAAACTTCAGAGTGGGAATGATACACTTCTGTCACCAACAAAAATGATGTGCCTCTTGCTCTGCTTCCTCTGGCAGGCCACAGTCAGTGCTTGGATTTATGAGCAAGGTTTGGGGTTTTGGTGCAAGCCAAGGTGAGCACTCAGTGTTGAGGATGGAGAAGGCACAGAGCACTTTACTGTGTTGTCACACAGAACTACCCCCAGGCTGGAACTGAATGAGGCACCAGTGGCTCTCCAGATGTGCTGGTCATTCCCAGATGTGCTGTGGGGTTGTTTCCCTTGAACTGCCCACAGGGTCAGAGCACAGGCCCCTCCTTGGCTTTCCTCAGCAATGATTACTCCATTTGTTCTGGTGATGAACAGCCTCAGTTCAGAGTGTGCTCCTGCTCCAGGCTGATGTTTGTCATTGTCACAGGGCAGGGACAGCCACCAGCCCTGCTCCTCAGCMCTGGGATTGAATTTTGTCATCTGAGCTGTTAAAAGGATTTCATCTAAGAGGTAGGGCCCAAGGGAAAGATCAGGAGATCTATTCCAGTTGCACAGAACTCCGTGTTCTGGAYTGGAGGTGTTTCATAACAAGATCTTCTGCTGGAGAAGGAAAATCCAAGCCTCATGTCTGCACAGCTGTGTGAGCAAAGGGGCACTTTTCTTCATTTTTAAGCCTGAGTGAACTTGTTCTTGTAGTGCCCCCCTTTTTTTTAACACCCATTTCTTTAGCAGATGCTGTCACTTGTTTGTCCAGTCCTTTGAGGAGTTTGTAACTTTTAATGTGCTTCATTGAAACAATCACTGAAGGATCTCGATAACAAGTGAACATGTGTCACAACAAACCGAAGATACATCTTTGGTTTCACTCTTAAAGACACTGTAATTCCCACCACATCGACAGGAGAGAGTATAGAGTTGTTCATCTGCCAAAAAAGAAAACAAAAGCACCTTTAATGCTGGAGAAGAATCAAGAATTTATTTTGAATCTTCTTCACAAAGCTGCTCTTAGTAACAAATAACCTCCCACTGCTGGGTTGTAAATATCAGTATCTGTGCTACCATTAGTCGTTCAAAAATACAAATTAAAAAAAAATAACTYTCACAATATTTCAGTGACTGGGGTATTCTTACACCAACCAACCAGGGCCAATGGAGTCTCTTCAAAAAAACCCAATGGTAACAACAAAGTGTACATCAGTGAAACAACGAAAAAAAACCTCAGTGGTGGTAGTCATAAATGTGACAGACCAAGGATGCTTCCAGAACAGACTGCTAACCCAGGAAACAAAAAAGAAGAAAGGAAAGTAGGATTTTTCCCCTCACAACTTAAAAAAAAATTCAGTCATTTATTCCAAAAATAAACAAGAAAAAGTAAAATAATAGAAATTAGGGAAATAACTGTGCCCAATWAAGAATAAAGCCCTGTATGAAACACATGCATTCTATCATCTAGCAGAAAGATTCACAAGAGATATGGGAAGAATTTATTTACTCAATGATACAACAGGGGAGCTGGTGAAAAGTGGTACTGCAAGTGGGGGTGGGGGGAAGAAATGTAGAAGGAATGAAAAACAAGTGTCACAGAAAGTTAAATTCTAATCCAGATAAACCCAGAGAGAAAAATAGCTTTGTTTTAGGAAATACAGAAAAAACAGACCTCAAAGTAAGACAATAAGGGTGTAAATGCAGAAAAAAGAAAAACATTACCAGAGACAATGAAAGGCATTAGGAAACTCCTACCTTCATTCCARGACATATCCTCAAGATAAATCTGTGCATGAAGTGGCCATTCTTTTGTCAGGTTATCTTCTATAAAGCAAACAAGACAGATGTTCAGTCTTTTCTGATAAATTCATAGTTTTATATAACTAGCAGTCAATCTGGTCCCTACTAGACAATCCTACTGAGATCACTGTATCAGTTAAAAATGCAGTTCTCTGTAACTTTAGCTTCCAGAAGATTCCTGAAAAAAGATAAATGAGAAACACTTGTAGAGGAAGACTAGTCCAAATGTTCTTTTATGATAAAGTGTCTGTCAGCACAGAAAGAAAGTCAGTTCTGGTCTGTACCTGAGAGATCTGCTGCCATTTGACCCCCAGACTCTTCTACATTGAGTACAGAATGAAATGAAAAGTGTACAACACAGCTGACAGCACCAAATGCAAAGTCTGCAGTACAAATTAGTGATTTTTCCATTTATCAGCTCATATTTGATGTACAAAGTTCACACCAAGGTCTTTATCTACATAATGTGAGATCTTGTCAACAAAGTTACAAGTGAACCCATAAAAACGAATATTTAAAAAGTAAAAAATAATGTAAACCCYTTACAACTTAATGACACAAAACCTCCCAGCTGCTGCCTGACACCTAAAAGCTCCAACTCCCCAAATGCTGAATTTTTAAGAACAAGAAATGCCCAAAAGCTGAACTTCAGCACATGCACAGAAATGCCTTCAGTTTGGCGAGACTCAGTTTAGTGCACATGCACAGTTTAAATGTGGTTATTACTGAGGAGGGAGGTGTTCCTCCTCTTGGAGCAGCAAGTTCTTAAGCCTGTTGATAGTTTAATAGCTTTTGAGAGCTATTGGAGGGTTTTCTACAGCTTTCTTTGAAAAGCTGGCAGTGAAATAATCTCTTATTCCAGAACTGCTTATTGAGCTCTTGCTGGAAAAGTCAGAGGCCCAGATTATACTGTTTTAATTCCCAAGAGATTCCCYGACCTAATCACTACATTGTGGGGTATCCTAAGTAGTTCCCAGCTTCTTCTGTTTAACTTCTTATAACTTCCATGAACCTTCTTAGCTCGGGCCTGAAAAGCAGAACTGAGGGATTCTGCAGCCCAGAAAAAACTGCCCCTCTCCAACCTCTGTCTGATCAGGTAACAGAGCATTCCCTTTATCACCAAAACCCAACACCAATTATTACATCCCAGTCTTTATTTTGCAACTCACTGTTCCATTTTCAGCTGAAATGTATGTTACATATGGCTGGGAATGAGTCTCATCTAAATTAGTTCTGATGAAAGCAATTAAATCGGACACRCTGAAATAATGACAGCATCAGTACAGCCTCTTTGATGTTACCTTTGCTGAACACCTATTTGGTAATGAAAATGTCAGAAGAAAAAAAGAAAATTAACCATTCAGACCCTGTACTTTACTACTGTCAAAAGAAAGGGGGAAAATCAGCAGGAGTGTAATGATGAAAGAAAACTGGAGGATRCACCAGTTATATGGAGTAACATTTTCCTTACACCTGATCAGAACATTAGTTGACTGTGTGAGGTGTCAAGATACAATAAAGGATCAATGGCCTTATGCCAAATAACACCATTGTTGCTGGGAATTTGTCTGGGCCAAGCTACAAAACATGAGGCTRTAATGGTGAATGATCTGAGTTATCTGATAATCTGAATTATCACTCTGAGTTATGWCACATGCTGGCCTTGCATGTGGATYTGCTCAGGCTGTGAAACTCTATGTACAGAGCTGTCATTTCTGAAAMACCCTGAACATACAGGGAAATGTGAAGACCTGATCATCCACCACAAGTCCTGAAACAAATTTTAATTCCCCAGCAGTACAGCCTGCCTGGCTTTGCCATCTATTGGATTTGTCTTACAACAAGAGGTGAAAGGATTCTGCAGCTCCATTGTCTCAAGTGCAGGATCTAAGAAAACACTGGCAGGCTCATCAGAGAGGTTTATGAGCCTGCAATTCAAAGAGATTAAAAGGAAAAATCTACTGAGATTCTTTCAGGCTACAGAACAACATTAAATAACTATTAGCAGCTTGGTTCAGTAAAGCTTTACTAGAGCCCTTGCTGGGTCATTCAGAAATTGTAAAAGAGGAAWGGTATTTAAGTTTCACTTGAGGATACAATAAATATTTCTTGGGCTACTTAAGGCTGAGTTTTAGGGAAAGGGTTGCAAGCAGTAAATGGAAATTCAACCCTTTTAACAGTTTATGGTAATAGTAAAAATAGTCATAATACTTGAAAGATTTTTCTAGCTCTTTATCAGGCATACATACTTAGGATTGTTTCTTTTTCAAACCAAACACAATTAGACTTCAAGATATGCATTGTCAGTCAAATACTGTTCATATCTACTCTGCATCAAAATCACCACTGGATGTTTTCACAAGTTAACTTTTTCTAACAGGCTTTTAAAATTCAGTCTTTTGAATTCATTTAAAACAACYACACTTACTTTAATTTGAAATTTTAGCAAAGTCACGTGCTAAGAACTTTCATAACAAAAAGGTATGTTTGTTATAAAAATACCAAAACAATCCTGCTTCTCYTAACACCAGAGAGTTCAAAGGCTTGAGCTCCAGCTGAGGAGCTGCAGCCAGAAATCCATGGCTGGAGAAGGAATAGACACTTYTGGGACTTACAGAGTACAACCTGGCACACTGCAAAAGCACTGTGGTATTGTCAGCAAAGCCTGGATTAGTGACCAGATGTTGTAAAATGAGCTATTTTAGGCTAAGTACAACTTTTTGTTGTGCCTCACTGCCTAATGGAAAGGAASAGAGAGGATGGAACCAGAGCTATTGTCAGAGGTGATTGGCACAAGCTGGAGCCTGGAATTCCTCATGCCTAAGAAATGACACCAGAAYAAAATCAAAATTACACTGGAATATTACTCATTTATGAAAATTGCATCTGCAATATTCTCCTATAAGTATAATTRAAAAATTGAAAATCCAAAGGAGGTTATGTGCCAAGATGTGAAAACTCCTSCCCCCAGCCTATAAACCTTTGGAGCCTACAAGAAACATGGAGAGGGACAYACATGGGAAATCCTCTAGATTCTTAATTTTTCCACCCAAAATCATAAAAGCAACTGGTTTTAGTGTCAATCCCACCACAAGCTTTGAATTATTTGCTACATATACCACCAGAAACTAACCTAAGGCACGAACTTACTGATTTAATTTTGTGACCTTTAAGAAATTATTGGGAAACCTTCAGAGAAAAGCAGTATTAAGATATAAAAGCACATTCACTTGTTTCTCTCAACAATTCAAAAAAGAAAATGAAAACCATAGAGCCCCACAGAATTTCATGTTTTTCTAACTTCACTAACTACTGAATTTCAGAGCCAAGTAATTAGGATTTGGTTAGTGTAACACAAGAAGGTACATAGAAATCAAACAATCTGTGAAATGGGGAAAATACTACAGTGCAAAGGGCTTCCTGCTGATAGGCAGCCACACACACACACACTGGCATCCTTCAGATCCTGCTTCCTAGGCTTCCTYTGCATCTTACTAACTTGCTGTATTATCCTTCTCATCACTATTCCCTTTAGCTGCTGTCTCAGTTCCTTTGTTTCTGTGAGCTTTTATGGCAGTGTCTACGAATTTGTCTAGAATCATGACTTCAGAAGCAGCTTGACAGGCATTCAAAGAACTAGAATTTATTTCCCCATCATTTTGCTGCCAGGGAACATGCTGGAAAGAATGCAGCAGCCCTGCACATGTGTGTTAGGTGTGGCTCAGCCTGAAACTGTACTAAAATGATGTCCCATCACCACCTCATTACCAAACACTTGCCTAAATAGTACAACCTGATTTCTTCATTTACCGAGTCTTTACTCATYTGGATGCAAAAGAATCTGAGAAAATATAGATAATCTTCAAATTACTGTCAGAACTGATTTATAGCAATATCCTTAAATCCCAAGRGAAAACAAAATCTTGATGTAGCTCTCTACTTCAGTGGATTAACCTGACCTGGCAAAATGGAACTTCATAGTCTGGATTTAAGCTTTAGGTAAAACTCCCTAAATATAGAAAAGAGTCCTAATTTAATCTCTAATACTTCCTCATTCCTCCACACATATAATTTGTGAAAAGAGAAGATACCACCAATATTACAATGCTATAAGTACAAYAGGATGAGAGCACTGGGCAGCAGAAATTCCTGTTCTGACATCACCTTCAGKCATTTAAAAAACTACTTTGACACGAAAAATTTAAGTCTGATCTTCATACTGTTTACATTACAAATTAACACAAGATCCAGTCTGAAACCCAAGGTTATTTAAGTAGATAATTCTGTGTATATCCARTTCTGCATCACCCTCTTTCTCCTGCAGCCATGCCTATGTGCCACACTGACTACGCCTTTGTCTCTCCAAGCCGCGGTATCGGCGGCGGCAGGGGGGTTAAAAATCAGCACAAGAGAGCAAGGTCTGATGGTGTGCCAATGTACAATGGCAGGGAATTCAATAACAAGCTGCAGAGACAGTGGGCTTTTATCAGACACATTCCACAACGGTGGTGGCTCCACGTCAATGCTGGAGCACASTGTGTTACTGCCGAGTGTTTTCCCCACAGGCAAAGCACTATTATTGACTCCCCCCATTAACATGTAGGGTGGATATACATTTATTGAAGGTTCTAATGGAAGGCTGAGGGACTCCTATCCTGAGGCCAGAGCAGAAAGACAGCCTATCACTTCATGTAATGGTAGCCCATGTGTGACAGACCTGACCTACATTTCCCCCCTTTCTTTCTCACAACAGCCTGTCACTGTTTTAAGAAGCTATTTTCTGAGAGGTATAAAAAGAAATGTGTGCTAGAGCTGCCCAGTTAATATGYTACATTGAAATATTATTTACAAACCTGCTTTAGAAAGACTAGTTTAGGCTATGGATGAATTATGAACGCTACCTAACACACACAACGAAAAAGAGTCCTAATGATTCTGGTTATAAAYCCATTCACAATGAATGCTAGGTATAGATGGATTAATACTTACATCTAAAACACTGCAACAAAATGGAGTGTAGAACTCAAAACTAAGAACAATTAATGAAGCTACCTTCATAAAATAAAAAGAGCCAAGGTCTGCAATTAGTRTACATTTCATAATAATTCTATTGGAATTATTATGAAACTATTAGGAAAAATGCCCCCTAATGTTTTGTTGGAAGTAATTCYGTGTTTTCAGCAGCTAATGTATGTGCAGCAAAAGCTATAAATAATGGATCCACGTTTGAAAGTAGGACAAGAGTGAAAGAAACATTTGGTTCAGCACTAAACAGCATTTTAAAATACCATCTAACTACCACTCCCAGCCCCTGCTTATTTAAAGAGCTGCTGCCACTCCAGCACTCCTTGGCAGGAACTTACCACGCTGCTGCAGGTCATACTCTTTTTTTGTCTCCTCGTTCCCTAGAATTTTCCACGCTTGATCAATCTCGATGAACCGCTGCACGCGCTCCTCCACTTCTCCTGCTGGCACATCTGCCTCCTGTTTGTCGGGATGATACTGCCAATCAAAAACAAAATAAAAAAAAAAAATAAGGTTAGGGGAGTGGAAGTGAGGAGGGTGGGAGAGGAGCAATCAATAATGCATTTGATACTCAGGAGGACAGAAAAAGGGAGAAGGTCTAAGCTAAGGAGCCAAAGGAAGGGAGATGATGACACCRGCACAAGAGGAAACTGCCAATTTAATTATCCTGGAACAGCAACAGAACCACCAGTGGCACAAGTGTCACCATGTGCACTGAYGGCATTTTCTGGATAATTTGCTGATGGAATCACTGGTCTTATGGACAATTTACCTAGAGAGTGACTACCACGAGCAGAAATAGGTACACGCAGGGGACTGTGACATGTCAACAAGAGCAGGTGCTGGAGGTGCTGGCAGCTCTTGTAGCACTACACAGAGCTGATTTAAACATAACACCAATGTTTAGTTAAAGCTATTRCAGATAAATTGAGTGCTGTATTACATGTGCCTAGCTTTTTTAACSGTTTAAATGGTAAATAAAATATACATGATCAAATATAATTTATACTACATGTAATTCTACTTTTGAAAATATGCCTCAACATCTTTAATTTCTTCCAGTTCAGTGAATCAATAGCCCTTCCAAATATTTAAAGTCATGGATCACTGACTACAAAATTGTGTCAGTTTAGTTAAGAAATGGTTATTYAAGGACATGGTTATTCAAGAAATCCCATGTTAAACAGGCAACAATAATTAAAGCAGTAACACTTTTTCTCATTCATTCTGAGTAGAGCATTCTGACTTGAGTGGTTCCAATGTCTACTGAAAAGGAACCCTCAAAGCTCCAYCTTCCTGTAGCTTTAATTCATCTCCAGTAACCTTTCTAGTATTTCAAATTGCTCAGTAGACTTGATGGACCAACAGGAAACTGTTTAAGTTGAGAAAGTTGCAATATAATCAGGTCTACCAGCTGATAACTGTTATAGACCAAGTTTTCCCTTATTCTGGAGCTTTAACTGCCCTCAGTTGGGACACTGAAATGTGCAGCAGATTTTAAGACTTAGTACACCTGTTCTACAAGGGTTTAAGCCAATTTCTGATTAAATGAATCTCTGTTTTAAATTGTAACTGATTTTGGAAAGAAAAGAATAGTAGCATTACGTGCATTTGGTAAAGTCCCAAATGTAAAAGGAAGACTCCAGGAGGAGTACATCTGCTCACTGATGTATATTCATTTGCACTGATGGGTGCTACCCTGACACATCCCCTGTACAACAACAGCAGGGATGTATGAGCAACATGGTAAGTTGTGACCTCAAGTTTTTTCACAGGTGTTTTTCCCTATACAGGTGGCTGTACCTGCAACCTCATGTTTGAGGTCTGTACACAAAATCCTGTTTTTGCTCCATGTAAAGTCCCCTCTACATTCAAGACTGAGGACTACCTTATAACTTGCTGAAAATATGGCTGAAGCACAGTGTGATCCATAAAGGTTCATGTCTTAGACACTCCTTTTCTATCTCTTCAGCTGATGATGACATTCTATGGCACAAACAAAACCAAAACCTTTAGGTCATTGCATTTAGTCATTGTATTCCATAAAGGTAACTGATAGATATTTGTACTGGCCACAAAGATCACAACTTCTCAGATCAGCTAATTGGAAATGCATGGAAATATCACTGACCAACTGCCCAAAGCAGAACTTCAGCACACTGGCTTCTCTCCTGCCAAGAATGTTGAGCAAACACTCCCATAAAATTGGTGACACCTCYCCTCTACTGCATCAAAACCTTGTTTGACTGTTCAAAAATGATTTTGAACTATACYGGAAGGAGACAGCCAAATTGAGTAAGCCACGTGTCAAAAAAGTACTTTGAAAAAATAATAATCCATGCAGAAAACACTACTCTGTTCATTTCTTGAATAATGCGGAAAATTAATTATTCTTCAGGTTTATCACATAGCCCTTAACTCCTTTTCTATAGATTGGGAAAATTTATTATCTGTAGTATATGCAATTTTTCTTTTAGAAAGACTACAATTTCATCTAACTTGGAAGATGAACTCTATTGTAGGAAACCTACTAATTAAAATATATATCTATATCTACTTCTCTCCATTTTGGCCTCCAAGCTTTCTGAATCTATTAGCTCCTTCCTCTCTCAGCCTTTTTCCTCTATTATTACCTAATGCCTTTAGCAAACTACATCTRCACTAAGAAAAATCCTCAAAACACCAGCTCTTTTACTCTAATACTGCTCTTATTCTTTTTTTATTCCAGTGACCCGATTTCATCTGATTTATGTACTTATTGTTATGCTCTTCTTGACTTTTCCTACTCTCTAGCTTGCTAATCAAAATCCAGGAATGCTTGTCTGTAACAAAAACCCACTCTTGGTTCAACTTCTCCTTCCTCTCCAAGACAACAAATGAGGTGTGTTCTCTCCAGCTGGTTTAGACCCTGTTCAGCCACTCAAACAGACCAAAGTACCAAAGTTCAGAGGGAGCATTCTAATGTTCTCTGTCATATTTCAGACATAAATCAACCATGCTTTTTTTTAGGATCTTCCCTCACTCCCAGTTACCAGATCCTTGTGTCTGATCCTGCTCCCTGTCCGGTGTAACCTTCGCAGGAGCTGTCTGCAGAAACAGAGCCAGAGGTTTGGTTTTGTTTTGCAGGAGGTGAAAGATGATGGACGTTTGTGATCTCCTCCTCTTTCCCATTCAGCCTTATTTCTGGGTTAATCTCAGCTGCAGCSTGTCCAGGCTCTGTAATGAAAACAGACAGGTCTGTTTTCTACTCGACCTCCCTCCTTGGGCTCCAAGTGAAGCGCTGCTCATCTCTCCCTCATGCAGCCACTTGGGAGGCTTTACTCCAAATGCTAGAACCTGCCACATCTCCTGCAATCTCACTGCTCAAGATCTGTAAGGATGATCTTCATGTCATTCATCCACCTGAGCAGTGCTCTCAGCCCTTTACATCTTTCAGCTGCATACAGGACATGGCAATACTTCATAAAATAACTTTTTGCTGAGCACTCGTTCTGATTCCTGTGTTCAAAACCATGTCCTACTAACATGTTACTATTKAATAGGATTTTATAAAAACAGTAAATGATCCTATCCCAAGTCCAGCAGAGGGAAGGTAAAATGAAAAAGGTTTTCTTCATTTGCAATAGGTTGACACATGCCCAACCTATTTTTCCTTTATTATAACTGCACCAGAAGTAACTGAACTCCCTGTCTGGGATTTCTATCACTTTACAGCACATGACACTTTTCAGTTACTGTGAATGTTAAAAAATAAACTAATTGATTTTGGAAATATATTAGTTCATCTGATAACATTCATGTGATACTACTGCTCTCTCTCCTGATGTTTATCTTAAATTTCACATTGTCCTAGTATTTCTTGGAACCCTGGTTCTTGGTGTAAGGATTAATTMAAAAACAATTTCTTAAGGGTTGCATTTCCTCTAGCTTTTGAAATCACTAAAAAAATTTGAAAAAACACAATCCTTGAAGTGCAAAGCTCAAATGAAAACCATACCTAAAGCAGTATCTGTTGGAGACTTGGTGAAATGTTTGGCACTGCAGGGCAACAGGAAAAATTGGCTAACACAAACTTAACCTTGTGCAATTTAAATTACARTATTATTATCATACCTTGATAAAATAACTACATAGTACAGTCTTCTTCATGAACATCAGACTATACTGTTCAGCAGATTGGATGCCATGAGAAACAATGTGTCACCTGGCAATGATTAAACCATCAGAACAAAAATTTAAGTTAGATTATTCTGGACTTACAATCATGAGTCAAAGTAACCATCAAGTAGACAGTACTACCATGACTTACAACACAGTAAATTTCTCAACTATCGGATTTATTAACGATTTTAAACTCTGAAGTCATCTACAGTCTCATGGAATCACCTTGCTAAATTGAACTGACAAGTTTAGACAAGTMTTGAATTCCTGCTTTATTTGTATAGGGGATGTGTGCCTATATTTGAATAAGGGATATATTTAAAGCTGGAGATGTGCCCTCAGTAAATCAAGTAGTAGGATTTAACCAGAGGATTAATTAGATGCACCCAAGTATTTCTGCCTTTGRAGGAACTATATCTAATGACTAAATCTCAGCTTTAAGTAAATGATAGAATATTRGCATCTCAAATTAACTCAGTATCTCAGCATCCTTATTCCTTTCTCTGTGTTAGGCATAGAGCAGCAGCTACAATAGTTTTATAGCTGGACACTATTTTAATCCACGGAATGCAGTGTGCAGTATGATTTTCACCCAAATATAAATGACCTTTTTTAAAAAAAAATCACAACCTACACTACAACACCCTCTGGGATGTGCAAAAAGATGCTTATTTACATTGAAAAATAAGCAGTGATGAAAGACAGTCAGTAATGATCAGGGAAGAGAAATTCAACGCAAACTTTACAAAGAGAACGCTCCTCCATATCTAGTCCAGGTATGAAAGAACTAAATGAGATAGTGTCAGATGAGAGCAGGATACAGCACTGACATTCACTGTCCTCACAGGGCACAACAGCAAGAGGCCACAAGAGATGGACACTGCTGCTCAGAACAGGGCAAAAATGGGGTGGGGCAGGGTGGAAACAGTGCAAGCAGCTGGATGAAGACACAAACCCAAGCCATTATTTTCCAAACGCACTGCCTGACTCATGGCTGCGAATCCAAGAGAATCAAACTTTGACTCCTTATGGGAATGCACAGATTAATACCACGCACTTCTAAACCATGCTGTCAGTATTTGGGGGTTTAATCTCTATGTTCTTGTATCAAAATACTGAACAGATAATATATTCAAATTTCAGAATCAGAACTCTCCCTTGGAGTAATAAGTCCAAACTGTTTTGTTTTTTTTTTTTTTTTTTAATAGCACACTAGGGCACTAAAAAAATTAAAATGGGCTTAAGCAAGCAGAACAGAAAGCCTCATACAAACAGCCTTGGTCTACACAAAGTTAACCAAACAAGCATGTTGCACT